ACCCTCCTGGTGCCCCCCTTCCCTCACTGCCCCTACCACCTTTGCCCTCTTTTTCCCTGATGCCCACTCATAGACTCATAGACTTTAAGGTCAGAAGGGACCATTATGATCATCTAGTCTGACCCCCTGCACAGTGCAGGCCACAGAATCTCGCCCACCCCTCTTAGAATAATCCTCTCACCTATGTCTCAGATATTGAAGCCTTCAAATACTTTGAAGGCCCCAACATGCAGAGAGTCCTTCAGCTGTGATCTGTGCCCAATGCTACAGAGGAAGGCGAAAAACCTCCAGGGCCTCTGCCAATCTACCCTGGAGGAAAATTCCTTCCTGACCCCAAATATGGCGATCAGCTAAACCCTGAGCATGTGGGCAAGACTCACCAGCCAGACACCCAGAAAGTTCCCTATAATGAATGGTCAATTAGTTACCAAGATCATGTTATTTCATCCAACCATCCCCTTATCATAGAATCATAGAACTGGAAGAGACCTCAGAAGGTCGTCAAGTCCAGCCCTCCGCTCTAGGCAGGACCAATCCCATCTAAATCACCCCGGCCAGGGCTTTGTCAAGCCGAGACTTAAACACCTCTAGGGATGGAGACTCCACTACTTCCCTAGGTAACCCATTCCAATGCTTCACTACCCTCCTAGTAAAATAGTTTTTCCCCACACCACCTTCTGCCCCCGTTTCCTCTCATGCTCCTGTGCCCTCACATATGCTGGCCTTCCTCATCCTCACCCCTTCTTTCACGCTTTCTCCTAGCACCTCCTCCTCCAGCCCCCAATGCCCTTCCCCTCTCCTCTCCCAGCGTCCCCCTCCCACTGACACCTCCCCTCCTGCCCTTTTCCTCATTGTCTGCACTTGGCCCCCTGGCATTTTTCTCTCCTGTACCCTGTCCCTTTGGAGCCTTACCCTTTCTTCCCCCTCTCCCCTCCTCCTCTGTACAAGCCCCTTCCTCTCCCAGCCCTTCCCCTAGTTTTCTTCCTCCCCCTCTACCTCCGCACAAACCCCTTCCTCTTTCACTCCTTCCCCTTTCTTCCCCCTCCGCATAAGCCCCTTCCTCTCCCAGCCCTTTCCCTTCCCCTACCTTCTGCCTTCCACTTTGAGGGGTAGGAGTCTGCGCTCTGTCCCTGGACTTCGAACCCACAACTCAGCACCCAGCAGTTTTAAAATCCCAGGCCGTGACGTTATGTCATGCCCGGGCATCTCCGTGTCCACCTGTTTGAGCACACCACGCATGGCAGTAGCAGCCTGCAAGGGGGAGCTCAGTGCCAGTTGCACATGGCAGGAACAGGATGGGGTCTGGGCCGGGGGAGAGATGCTCTGGGGCCGGGGTGAGAGGACGCTCGGGAGGAACCGGGGGACCGCTCCTAGCAGGGCCTGAGAGACCCAGCTCCAAATATTGGTGGAGCATGGGCACTATGAGCCCATACAACTCGCCACCCATGCTCACTGCCCATGGCGCCCAGCACACTTCCGGGTTCAGGGTGTGGGGCCCGATTCGGCTGAGGAGTAACAGTTAACATCTTTACCTCAATTTCCTTCATCTCTCCAACCGGGGTTGAGGTCTCCTCTGGGGGCTGCTCTGGGGAGAGATCCAATTGCGCCTCCTCTTTCTGGGAGGGTCTAGGGTTACCCATCACCACTAGACATGTCTTCCATCTGTCAGTCTCCACAGGGTTAGGTTCTAGTTCCCCACACTTTTAGCTCGACAGCTATTCTTTTGTCTCCGTTGGGGTAACCTCTCACCTTTCCCTGAGGCTCCTGTCTCTCTCTCTGGTGTGCCAGTCCCAGTCCCGACCTATCACCACCAGATATGGTAGCTGGTCCACTACCCCCATCTGCTTCCACTAGAATCTGCCTCGCACTTCCAGCAACACCTGGGATCCTGGGTAGGACTTCTAGTCCCCATGGATGCATTCTAGCGTTACCTGAGCTCCGAGGACCATCCAGTGCAGCCTCACCAGCCCCTTCCGCACTAGTGAGTGGGCTGACGCAGAGTCCATTAAGCCTCACCGGGCCTTTCTCCTCACCTTCATCGGGACAGTGAGCATACTCTGCCTCTTACCAGGTCCTCCCACCTGAGTCCACCCACAGAACCCCGCATACCCACCGTCCATACTATCTGGGCAGTCCCGCTTCCTATGCCCTGCCCTCCTGCATGGCCATTGTGCCGGCCCCACCAGGTGCTCCTTGCGTGCCTCCTCCCTATACCGGCCTTTCCCAGAAAAGGCTCCTTCATCTTCCTTTCCAGGTCCTTGTGCCTGTAGGGTCAGCCTTCTCTCCAAGGAACCTCCACCTCAGACTGCTGACTGCTGGCGGACTGTTTCAGGCTGGTGGTGATTGACTCCCACGCAGATATTCTCCAGCAGGGCTTGCAGCAACTTCCCAGCTACAAGTGTGTCCATTATTTCCCACACCATTCTTGTCTCCGGCCTCAGCCAGTGGGTTGCCTAATCTGCTCATTTCTGGACAAACACCCGGGGCCTCACTGCTGCTGTCCATCAGGCTGACTGAAACTTCTGGTGATATATTTCTGTGGATAGACTACCTGGTCCAGAATGGCCAACCTCACTGCCTCATTGTTTCAGGCTTGTTCATCACTCAAGACCATGTAGCCTCTTCTGCCAGGTAAGGAGCCAGAAGTAGGGCCCAGGTAGCCCTCTCCCATCTGGCGCCCATGGCTAGCTGCTCAAAGGTCCCCAAAAAAGCATCTAGGTCATCTGCTGGCCCCATTTTACAGAGTTCCAGGCCTGATGGTTGGGTGCCATCCCCTCCCCTGGGACTCACCATTTGCTGCAGGAACTGCTGCTGCACCTTGCTCTGCTCCTTAATAAAGTCCTGCAGGCTTTGCTGCTTCTCTGCCTGCCAGGTTAGCAAGGCCTGTCTCTCTGCCTGGTGGGACTGCTGTAAACTCTGCAAGGCCTGCTGCACCTGTTCTTGCTGCTTGATGAGCCACTGCAAGATCTCCTCCATCTCTGGGCCACCAACTACATTTGCTGGCACTGGATCCCACTCCTAGCACTAGGGATGTGAAAGGGTAACCGGTTACCCAGTAAGCATCACCCTTAATGGATGCTGCTTACCAGGTAACAATTAACCATTACCTGAGAGCAGTCTCATGGGCAGAGAGTCGGCAGTCTTGTGAGGGGAGGTTAGAAGGGGAGGGCTGCCAGCTCCCAATCAACGCAGGCTTGCATGCTGGGAATCGGCATCCTTGTGCAGGACTGGACTGCGGCAGCCTTCAAAAGCTGCCAATTCCCAGCATGCAAGCCCGAGTGGGCTAGGAGCCAGCAGCCCAGCACAATATTGGAAACAGCTGGGCTTAAGCAGACTCTGCCTGCAATGGGGGCACCAGTCTAGGGTTGTCAGATGGTTTCAACAAAAATACCGGACACACTTGACATTATCTCACAATCTACATTACGTCTTATTTAGAAAATATCCGACATTTATATTTTCTCATTTATATTTTGTCAATTTGTTTCCCGAAGAGAAAGTTCAAATACTGGACTGTCCGGTTCAAAACCGGGCACCTGGCAACCCTAGGTGCCAGTCCCACCCAGTTGTGGTGGAGAAGGGGTGGGGGCAAATCCAGTCCGGCAGGCTGGAATGCCCACCCTCCCACACAGGCGGCTTAGCCCCATGGGATACCGGGAATTTCCCAGTGGGCCATCGTCCAGTGGGCCGTTGTGTCCACACGCTGTTGCCCCTCACTCTGAGCAGCTCTGCATCTGTGCTGTATGTGGCATGCGGAGCCCAACCCACCCCGCCGCCTGCGCCACATGCCGGACATGATGCAGGGGGCAGGGCTTGAGGGACACACAGGGATGATGTCATGGGGAGGGCCATTCTCAACCCATTTCCTGGGCCTATTTTGATTGCCATTACGCTCCTGCCTGGCCACCACTATTTAATCAGTTACTGTTAAACTTAAAGTTGAACCAGTTAACTAATTAAACGGGATTTTATTGCCTACTGCACACTTTTTTTTATTTGTTTGTATTCATCCTTTGTAACTTGACTTCTTTTCTGCTTTTTGTAGGACTCCTTTTTCATTTTTAGATCATTCAAGATCTCCTGGGTAAGCTATGGTGGTCTCTTGCAATACTTCCTGTCTTTCCTGCGCAGTGAAACAGTTTGTTCTCGTGGCCTTAATAATGTCTCTTTGAAAAACTGCCAACTGTCTTCAATTATTTTTCCTCTTAGTCTTGCTTTCCATGGGAACTTACCTACCAATTCCCTGAGTTTACTAGAGTCTGCCTTCCTGAAATCCATTGTCCCTTTGTGGGTGAATTGATTTTACTTTGATGCCCAACTATGAAATCAGCTCCAGGATTTTCAACCTTCAAAGGCTGGGAATTTTCAGTTTCAAAGGCGAACATTTCAACAGAAATTGGGTTACAGTAACAGAGGTGCTCAGCACATGTCATAGGGAGCATCCTATTGTAACTGAGTATGGTAAAATGGCATATAAGCCAAAGAAAAAAATGCACTCTGTGCCATGTTGGTTGACTTTAGACTTCTGCCCGGTATGGCATTCCACTAGGGGGCTCTGTATTTCAAGGATCCCATCTGTGTGCCTCTGCATGTGACAGATAGATGGAGTACACCCATAACTAGGGATGTAAAATCCCATTTAATTAGTTAACTGGACGGCGGGCAGAGGCTGCTCCAGCACTGGGGTCACTAGCTCCCCACCTGCATGGGCTGGGAGTCAGCAGCCTTGCACAGTGGCGGGAACACTGCCAGCTCCCAGAATGTGCAGGCTCGTGTTGGGTGGAAGTGGCAGGTGGGGGGACGGACTGTTTCTAGGTAACTGTTGATGCTTACTGCATAACCAGTTACCTGTTCACATCCCTACCCATAATGACTTTTCTATCATTCTTGCCCCTGTGGGTACAGAAAGGAGATTGCAATCAACGCATACATCCTGAGGAGATTTCTGGGAGTCCAGTTGCAAGTGACTGTGACCAGGGGGAACAGACATCAAGGTACCATCTAATCAATCACCTGTTTAACAAAGGAGACTCCAGTCTATCTCCATCCCTGCCCCCTGGTGTAAGGCATTTGCAAATCCTATGGCCCATTGCAGCATTCTTTCTCCTCTGTCACAGAAGCAAAGGTCAGCAGGATCACGTAGGATGGCCATTTCATTTTCCAAGCTTGTAGAAGATAGCAAGTGAAAAAAGAACAGTCTTTGTGCACACCACAATCTGTGCCCTCCCTCCCCACTTCCTGCCCCAACTTGTGCCACTTGACCCTGATTTGTACTATATGCCCTTTGCTATGAGCTTTCATCCGTGCAACTTCTTTCTTCTCTGTCTTCTCAGCTCAGGGCTCTCTGCTCTGCAATCTCTCCCTCACTGCAGTTCTTGCTGGCTTGCGTTTCTCAGGCTAGGGACCTCTGTGAGATACAGAACCTCACAACCCAATTGACTTTGCTCAGCTACATAACAAAGTGGGACCCTGCCTGCTGGGTTTGTGGCCTCTTCTAGACCAGGCAAACAAGTGCTTTGTGGGAGTGAGGAACTGTCCTGCTTGTTTTTACTGATCATGAAAGAAAGGACAGAAAGAAAGGCCCAACTACCTGCCTTGAACTGCACTCCAAAGGGAATTCTCTCCAGATATTTGTTTACTAAAGAGCTAGAGTTTGTCTGAAGTCTGGTGTGGAAAAGAAACAAAAGCAGGTTATCTCCAGATAAAAAACCATTGAATGCAATGAGTGAAGCTGAAGAGCTTGTGTCCCTTTTAATCAGACAACTTAAAAAATGACTCCAAGCTACTGAGAGCTTAATTAGCTGGAACTGGTGGTGAGAACAAAGGCCCCCTGCAGGAGAAATCCCCCCCATCCTGCGGTGGAAAACCTGCCATTTCCAAGTAAAGCTTTGAAGTGTGACTGGCACTGTCTCCCCCAGACAAGTTGGTGATGAGATTCCATTACTTCTCAGGCCCCTTTAGTGTTTATTCAGATCACAATCTTGACAACATATGTCAGCAGTATGCAGACCCATTTGTGTCTGTGGCAAGTGCCTTCTCCCCTGCTAAGGGAGCTCTAGGTATAAATATCTGAAATAGGAGTCCCGGAGACAATTCAGTGTTTTCAAGGTTGCAGCTATGATGCATCTTTTACTGGCTACTGTGCTTCTGAGTGGCTTCTGTATTCACAGCTTTGTCAGTAAGTCTCATTTCTCTTTTCCTCCTATGGTTTTTAGTGCACTGTGTGGTCATTTTAAGGAGTAAAGGACTTGTGAATGAACAGGGGAGGTGCTAAGGTCAAGTGTACAATTATTTTGCTAGCTGATGTATTCTTTACTAGGGAACTAGATCATCTCTGCTTGACTGCTTCTGTATAGTGGTGAGGTGATTGTCAGACATTAGCAAATAAGCTGGGGCTTCATTCTGTCACCCTAAGTAAAGTGAGAATGAGAATTGCCAAATCAAGGACTTAATTAGTGGTAATTAATGAGTGCCTATATGAAGTCTGGCTGAAACAAAAGACAGGACTATGCAGCACTTTGAAGTCTATCCTTGCTGTGGAGTAACAGTGGAGATCTAATGGGTCATCTCAGTTTTTTTTATCCTGCTTATTCCTTAAACCAGAATCATACAGTTAAAGAAATGAGATCTGTATATCTTCTGCTTTAAGCTTAAACTCCCCTTCTAGCTAAAGAAGGGGGCAGCTCCAACTGGAACGTGGTGGTCTTAAGCTTTACATTTTGTAAGTGTAGGTGCAGGAGCCATGAGCAGGCAGAATGAAAGAAAGAACTTGTTTGCAGAGAGGGGCTGCTGTAGGAGGCACAGCCATTCGGTGTATATTGGACACGGTAAGTGAACTTCTCCTTTAGGCTCTGGGAAGCCACTTTTGAACTTTCCCATTCATATTCTATCATCAGTGTCCCTCTGGCCATTCTATGGATGCTTGTAGAGACTTCACTGTCACATCAGCTCCAAAGAGCTAAGGTCGGAAGTCAATAAATATAATGGTGACACCCCAGGACGTGCTGCCTAATAAACCTCTGGGATGTGGCACTCCTAGCAAGATCCTTAAAAGCCTAATGTTCACTTCCATAACCAGATAATAAAAGCACATTTCACAAAATGATAATTAGTGGGAAGATTGGCTAATTGGTTATCATTCTAATTAGCTTCATTTTCTGTGCCAAATGTATTGAACTTTATCTCGGGACATTTGTATCTTTTTGCATTTGAATCAGCTCAGAAGCCGTTTTGGTCCTATGCTATGCAAGAGGCATGTTTGGGGAAGGTCACAATTTTTATTGGACCATTATGCAGCTTTCTTGTACAGTGAATACAAATTAGGAAATATATCAATTTACTATATTAATTAGGAAAATGTAGCTATTGAAAGTTGAGTATAAATAGTAAAAACCCCTTTATTTTCAATTTAAACCAATTTTTACCAAAAAACCTTGAGTTTTACAAAATGTAGTTTTCTTTTTTTCTGATTTTTCACCCTACTTTTATATCATTCAAATATATAAAAAATATCTAGCTGTAGTAGGAAAACCCACGGAAGGCTGTGTTTCAATAATACATTTGTCTGTGTGTATATACAAAGGTGCCTGTTGAAATAAGGCTAGAAGATACATACTATAAAGCAAACAGGCACATAGCAAGCTCTGAAGTGCATGTTACTGCTAAATCTCACACCCACCACATATGCAGATAATAGTTTAAAGATCTGACACACTAAAATGGGAAGAAAATTAAAATCTGTATCAGAATGCATTACAGAACACAAGGAAGTATTCTAAAGTTTAAAAAAGAGTAAAGGATGAGCTGCAAATGGTGTGACCCAATTATTAAATGTAATATGTATAGGTTAATAGTTCTAAGTCTACAAAGTACAAACTGTTTATTCAAATGAAAAGTTTTATTTAAGGATTAGAGATACAATGTGTATTGTTTTTTTAAATGCAAAGGTAGCATTATGTTTTGAGTTCTCTTAGTTCTGCACATTGAATTCCATTAATCACTTCCCCCCCCGCCCGTCCTTCCATCCAGCAAAATAAACACTGATATTTACCCAGAAAAATTAATCGTTTTTTCCACCAAGTTTCACCTATTTTTGTTATTGTAGTAATAAATACCAGTACATTCCAGGGAAAATTTAAATTGAAAATGAAGGGCCTTACATATAGTCTTGGTTCTATCTGCAGCTAGCAGAATACAGTGCAAGAGCCTTCCTAAGCCAGCTTCAGATGAGACATTTTGACCATAAATATTATCAAAGAACTGTTTCTAAAGAACAGGACTAGAAACCTGCAGAGTATTTCCAGCTTTGCCATAGTTCACAAATGTGACACTAAGCAAGTAATTTAGTACTCACGTGCCTGTATCCCAAGGCATAATACAAGAATGAGCATCTGTAACACAATGAGGGCTGTGAGAATTAATCCCTCAATACACGGCTACATTTCTATCACTATCCTCAGGTGAAAGCACTGTCAAAGTGCATAAGAGTATCACAACCAAGTTGAGACAAGCTTTCTTCTATGGCTTGAAATATGGTGCCATGGCAGACACTTTATCTGACATTCTTGTGGCATTTCCAATCTGCCTCCATCTTTTTACAGCACAGAGAAGTCTAGGACCAAAAAGCAGAGTGTGTACTGTTGTAGTTCTTCTGGACAGCTCTGGAGATACTCTTGCCTGCTCCCTTTTGCTCTACTGAGCAGACTGCTTTTATATAGACCCTCATAATTACAGCCACCTCCGAAAGCTTCAGTCATTTTTGTTTCTTAATATGCTTTCATGCTTGTTAAGAGCATGTTCATGTTAGTGACTCATTTAGAGGTCCTACCAGGCTTTCTATAGTGCATCCTACTCTGTATTTAAACTTGAACCAATTTAACTAAAGGTGTGATTTTAGACAATGGCGTTAAAGTGATGGCAAACACGGTGTGGATGTTCTTAATTCAGATTAAAACTGGAGCATATCAATTTATGTTAAGTAGATGCTTTATAAAATTAAACTAAATTGATACAAACCTGGTTTAAACTGAACTAGCACTTTTGCTGGTAAAAATTTGTCAGTCAGGGGGGTGTGAAAAAATACTCCTGTTTCACTTACTAAAGTGCCAGTGTGGACAGTGTGCTATGTTGGCAGGAAACACCAACATAGATGCTAATTTGGGGTGGTTTAATTATGCCAGCAGAAAAGCTTTGTCCCACCAGCTCAAGTCTGTAGAGTAGACATAGCCTAAGAGTGTCCACACTATGGCCTGTTGTACAAGAGACAGTTACAACGATTTAGTTAAGGTCCTGTCTGGACTTACAAGCTTACAGTGGTATAGCTGTGCCAAACAAGTCTGCTGACTGGGAGGAAAGGGGTGAGACTGTAGCAAAGGGAGTAGTTGCCCCGGGATCTGGATCACTGCACCAAGCTCTTCCTGTGGCTCTGTGAGCAGGGGGCACTGTGGTCCATGTGGCATGCAGGGCTGGCTCCCCAAGCGCACCTCTTCCATGGGAGGCCCTACCCCTTCCAGGAGCCTAGAGCCAGCCCCCCCCTCTCCCCCCCTCCCCCCGCCTTGCCCAGGGGTCCCCTCAGGCTGTTGGCTCCCGGGGTGTCTTCTTCACACTCCTAAGCAACAATATATAAATGCTATTGAAGACATGATTTGTGTGATTTTAAACTGCTGCAAACTCCTGTGTGGTACAGCAGGCTTATTGAGGTTCAGCCTAATCCTGTGGAACAGTTTTATTTTTACGTGGGGTTTGCACTGATTTGATTGGATTTTATTTTTAAACCAATATAAAGTGAAACAGAAGCAATTTTGAATACTGGCAAAGTTTCTGGAGAGAACTAGCCAATTTTCGGAAGTTTTTCTAGGGGAAACAATTATTAGCTGATAATCACTGGTGTTTCACAGACAAGAAATGCCCAACAAAAGTGTGAGACTTCTTCATGTGGTGTGAGGACCAGCTGGAATGCTCCATTTGCCCATGAATTAGAGAGTTTACTCAGACACCGCTACTATCTTGGTTAAATAATTCAACCACAATAGAACTTCTTGCATTCTCCCTTTACTAATATGCAGACTAAGGGATTCTCCCCAAAACACTGGTGGTCTTTGTCACTTCTCCTTAAAAACTAGGTGACAGAGACATTATCAGGTGATTTCCTGTTACTGCGACCTGACTGCTTTTATAAAATATGCTACAGCAAATTTACTAATTCTGCTATGAAGTACAGCATCATGGTCTGCAGTCAAATAAATGGCCACATTATATTTGTGTGTGTTTTGTTCTTTGCAGAATTAGGCAACCATGTGGACTGGGGTTTCCTTCACTTTGTCAGCACTTAGATTAGAGGCACGGATCATCTTTTCATTTCCTGTTTGTATAACACCTAGCACAATCCAGTCCTGGTCCATGACTGGAGCTCCCAGGCACAAGCACGATACAAATAATAAGTACAGTAGTAATAAGTTCTACATTCTTTAGGGATTCTGACTTTATCTTTCCTATGTTCACAGACATCTCTGGCAGTCCTGTAAGTCTGGATGTTGGGATGTGCAGGTCCCACTGTTTATCCCAAAAGATAAATTCATACCAGTCCGGATTTCCAGGGCTTTCCAAACATTCCTCTGTGCTGGACTTTCTTAGAACTAAAAAGGTGAGAAATGTGTATCCCTGTAATGGCAGCAGATTCATGTGTTATGTTTTTCTATATGCTCCTAAGCAGATCTCCTGTTCATTTAACATATTGTCCTGCTACTCAACAAACAATTGAGTTAAATGAAGCTTTATCTACAGTTCTAAAATTAAAGCAAAGTGGTGGTAGCGCCGCTATGACAGTCTAATGAGGGGAGCCCATTTACTCTGGCACTTTGCAGTGCTGTAACTTGCTGCACTCCAGGAAGTTTTTTTTCCAACCTGAGCCAGAAAGTTGCAGTGTAGGCTTAGCCTGAGTTACAAGAAAGTAAACTATTTGGGTGTCTCGTTGGGTGTCAGACACCTGCTGTGCGAGAGAGGGATCCAGAGCTCAGTTGTATATGGAGATACACTTGTCAGGGGTAGTCTAGCGAGTACTTCCTCTTGCCTCAGAGTGTAGGGGGCTGGACTAGAGATCCCTTTGCAGTGTTGCCAGCTCTCATGAGAATTATTTTTTTCCTTAAATCTCCAGTTGCAGGACTCAAGTGAATGTGTGATGTTAATCTTAATTTTTAAAGACAAAAATTAAGTTTATAGCTGTGGAGAATGCTTCAAAATTTGACCCCAGTGCAGTGTAATGGCTCAGAAGCAGAAGGCAAATAAAGACTATCTAGTCTACTATATGTACACAATCTCATGATTTTAAAACCAGTCTCATACTTTTTGGTGAGCCTGATTCATGATTTTTGGACATTCGGAGTTGGCATTACTGCTTCCAGTCCTACATTTCTATGAACCTGCAATATTTCCTTCATTACAGACAATCATATAATACTAGAACTGGAAGGGATCTCCAGAGGTCATTGAGTCCAGTCCCCTGCCCTCATGGCAGGACCAAGCACCTCTATATCATCCCTGATAGATGTCTATCCAACCTGCTCTTAAATATCTACAGTGAGAAAGATTCCACAAACTCCCTAGGCAATTTAGTCCAGAGTTTAACCACCCTGACAGTTAGAAAGTTTTTCCTAATGTCCAACCTAAACCTTCCTTGCTACAATTTAAGCCCATTGCTTCTTGTCCAATCATCAGAGGCCAAGGAAAACAATTTTTCTTCCTCCTTGTAACACCCTTTTAGATACTTTTAGACCGGTAAGTCTAACTTCAGTACCGGGCAAATTAGTCGAAACAATAGTAAAGAATAAAATTGTGAATCATGTAGAAGAACATAATTTGTTGGACAAAAGTCAACATGGTTTCTGTAAAGGGAAATCCTGTCTTACTAATCTATTAGAGTTCTTTGAAGGGGTTAACAAACATGCGGACAAGGGGGATCCAGTAGATATAGTATACTTGGATTTTCAGAAAGCCTTTGACAAGGTCCCTCACCAAAGGCTCTTGTGTAAATTACATGGCCATGGGATAAGAGGGATGGTCCTTTCTTGGATTGAGAACTGGCTAAAAGACAGGAAACAAAGGGTAGGAATAAATGGTAAATTTTCAGATTGGAGAGGGGTAACTAGTGATGTCCCCAAGGGTCAGTCCTGGGACCAATCCTTTTCAACTTATTCATAAATGATCTGGAGAAAGGGGTAAGCAGTGAGGTGGTAAAGTTTGCAGATGATACCAAACTGTTCAGGATAGTGATCTCACCAAACTGAGTGATTGGGCAACAAAATGGCAAATGAAATTTAATGTGGATAAGTGTAAAGTAATGCACATCGGGAAAAATAACCCCAACTATACGTACAGTATGATGGGGGCTAATTTGGGTACGACAAATCAGGAAAGAGATCTTGGAGTTATCGTGGACAGTTCTCTGAAAACTTCCACACGGTGTGCAGCGGCGGTCAAAAAGGCAAATAGGATGCTAGGAATTATTAGGAAAGGGATAGAAAATAAGACCCAGAACATCTTACTGCCCCTGTATAAAACTATGGTACGCCCACATCTTGAATACTGTGTACAGATGTGGTCTCCTCACCTCAAAAAAGATATTTTGGCCTTGGAAAGGGTTCAGAAAAGGGCAACTAAAATGATTAGGGGTTTGGAACGGGTCCCATATGAGGAGAGGCTAAAGAGACTGGGACTTTTCAGTTTAGAAAAGAGGAGACTGAGGGGGGATATGATAGAGGTCTATAAAATCATGAGTGGTGTGGAGAGGGCTGATAAAGAAAAGTTATTTATTAGTTCCCATAATAGAAGAACTAGAGGACACCAGATGAAATTAATGGGTAGCAGGTTTAAAACTAATAAAAGGAAGTTCTTCTTCACACAGCGTGTTGTCAACCTGTGGAACTCCTTGCCAGAGGAGGCGGTGAAGGCTAGGACTATAATAGAGTTTAAAGAGAAGCTGGATAAATTCATGGAGGTTAGGTCCATAAAAGGCTATTAGCCAGGGGATAAAATGGTGTCCTTGGCCTCTGTTTGTCAGAGGCTGGAGAGGGATGGCAGGAGACAAATTGCTTGATCATTGTCTTCGGTCAACCCTCTCTGGGGTACCTGGTGCTGGCCACTGTCGGTAGACAGGATACTGGGCTAGATGGACCTTTGGTCTGACCCAGTACGGCCGTTCTTATGTTCTTATGTACTTAAAAAACAGTCTTGTCCCCTCTCAGTCTTCTCTTTTCTAAACTAAACAAGCCTTGTTCTTTAAGTCTTCCCTCACAGGTCATGTTCTCTGGATCTTCTCCAGTTTTCTTTCTTGAAATATGGTGCCCAGAACTGGACATCCAATTGAGGCCTAGTCAGCACAGAGAAGAATGGAAAAATGACTTCTCATGTCTTGCTCACAACATTCCTGATGTTTGATGGATTTGGGGATCACTTCACACCCCCTCTGCCCTTGCAACCTAGCACTGATGCCGGTGCTTTAGGACACTTTTGCTCTCCACTAGGTCCCAGTAATTAAAAACTTCTTTCCTGAGCTTGTCAGTTCTCACAGGTGGGAAGAGGCCAGGTTCATTGTATTGTCTGGGTCAATAAAACTGACAGTCACTGAAATGGGTTATTTGGTGTGGTATTAGCCTCTCTCTACTTGGCCACTGGGGCTCTCCTTCCATTTGTGTAAAACACTCTGTGACACTTCAACCAGGACAAAGAACCCCCATTAAGAAAATAGAAAGAGCCTTTGCTGTTAAGGACATGTCTACACACAAAATTTGGAGAGTTTTAACTGTACAGCCGCTCCCCGACTTACGGCCACCTCCACTTACGACCATCCGCATTTACAACCAAAGCGGTCATAAATGCGGATCCGAGTTATGAACGGCGATCCACGCTTACGAACATCGCGGTCGCCATGTAACTCTATGGGATCCAGGTTACAAACAGTTCGAGTTACGGACCAAGTGTTGATCCGTACTTGGAGAGCAGCTGTATTGGTATCAGTAAAAAACATTACAAGCCCTTAGAGTGAACACTGTGATCATTAAATGTGCTCTACGCCAGGACAGTTATTCCTGTAGAGAAAGGGACAGTATTTATAAGCATATTCTCCACTCCGCTTTCCAAGTCATGAATTAAAATATTGAGTAGTATGACAACTTGGATAGAGTCCTACAGGACCTCACTAGATATGCACCCCCATTTTAACAGTATAGCATTGATAACTACTCTTTTGTAAGACTTTTCAATCAGTTTTGCCTCTGCCTTAGAAAAATGTATTTTTTGAGTATGTCATGGGGAAGTATGTCAAAAGTCTTACTAAAGTCAAACCATGTCATGTCTACAACTTCCACCTTGCTGCTAGACCAGTAACTCTGTCAATGAAGAAAATTAGCTTGGTTTAGCATGACCTGTTCTTAACATATCCATGCTTGACTATAGCTTATAATCAAGTTATCACTAGGTGCTTACAAATTGATTGTTTATTAATTTGTTCCAGTATCTTTCCAGGTAATGAAATTTAGGCTGACTGGTCTATAATTCCCTGAGTCCTCTATGTTCTCTCCCCACCCCTTTTTATTTTAAATATTCCTGTTACCTTGTGACTGTTCTGTGCAGCAGCAGGATAGGCAGGTGGAGCTGCCTCTGTCAACTGGAGCAGAACGTTCCTGCCCTTTGGATTCCCAGTGTGAACCCACCAGAGTTCACGTGGAGCGGGTACTGCTGTTTGAAGGAGTGCAGGAGGTGGAAGTGATTGAAACCTGCCAATGTAGCGCAAACCCAGAGGAGTGTCTCCGTCTGCCATCCCTGAAAACCTTCTTTCCAGACACCCCCTTGGAGTTCACTGTGGATGTAGGAAAGTGCTCCAATCCATCCCAAGCAAGAGGTATGGAAAAAGAGGGGACAGTTTTCCCTCCTTATCTCATGGGGCAGACAGGAGGGGGAGATGAGATGAGGAGGCGAACACAAGGAAGGAATAACTTGTCATATCTCAGGGCTGGAATCAGCATCACAGATGCTACTATTGCAACCTAAGAATGCTAGATGCAATCTAAAGTCTCCTATGCTACTTAAACATGTCTGACTCTTGGCTAACCCAGAGAGTGGTTCCTATTACCTGGAATTATATTACCGTATGGATAAGGTATGGAGCTTTATGCTGAGGACTTTTGGCTTCCAGTCGTATCTCTGCAGTTGACCTGTAGTGTGACCCCTTGACCACCCAGTGCCTGAATGCCCTCTTCTGTAAAATGGGTTCGATGCTAATTCTCTCCTTTGTGGGTTGATGTTCCTTTTGTCTGAGGATAATTTACATGGAATGCCTGCAGCACTAGTGTGCTAAAGGAGGGGCCACACACCAGATGAGATATTATAATAAGTGAGTATGTTTCTAAGGTTTTGTCTGCCCTGCAATGGTGCAACTGCAGTGATACAGCTGTGTCACTGTAAGGGGTCTCATGCAGTGGTTCTGTGCAAACAAGAGAGAGCTCTCCTTCCAGCATAATTAAACCACCCCCAACCAGCAGCAGTACTATCTCTTGCTGAGTGACGCTATCATTTCTGTGGATTTTTTCACACCTCTAACCAAAAAAAAAGTTTTGCTAACAAAGGCCCTCGTGTAGACAAAGTTCATGTTTGCAGATGATATTGAAGTGAAGGTTGAGCAAATGGTGACGGTTGCCAGATGGTTTCCACAAAAATACCGGACACACTTGACATTACATCACAATCTACATTACATCTTATTTAGAAAATACCGGACATTTATATTTTCTCATTTATATTTTCTCAATTTGGTTCCTGAACAGAAAGCTCAAATACTAGACTGTCTGGTTCAAAACCAGACACCTGGCAACCCTATCAACAGTGCACCCCTCTTGCAAAGGAGTGGGCAATAGATGGCTAGTACATTTCACTAGGGACAAAGGCCAAGTAATTGGGATAGTAGTAATGAACCTGTCTGGGAAATATACACTAAATGGAGTGCTCATAAGGCATAAGTGTATGGGAGAGAGGGTTGCTAGGGAAAAACCCTGGAAACTCTCACTTTAGAACATAGCTATAGAAAAAAAAGATTAAAAAACAATCACAGGGCTTGTCTAGTAGGGGAAATTGACCAGAATAAACTGTTTTGGAATAGACAGAATTTATTCTGGAATAATTAGCCTGCTCTGTTTGCACTAAGTGATGTTTGATGACACAGGAAGAATTCAGATTCAGAATGGATCTGCCTCTCCCAAACAAGTTGTGCAAAGAAGATACGTTATGACTGTGAGGGTTCACGGTAATTGAGAAGGTACTGAGACTGGTTTGGGATTATGGGATAAGTACAGCAGGTGGATGGCCCTGCTAGAATCAGTGAAACAATAGCTTAATGTTTCAAAGTCACATTGAAATAAAAGGAGTACTGTTTACAACAGACTCTTCCTGGAGATACATCAAAGTTTGAACTTGTAAGCTCAGTGCTGAAAGCTTTTAGCTTCTGCTGCAGGAAATAAAACAGTCCCAACCGGCTGCTGTGAGCAGTAGCAGATGCATGAACCGAGCTGTTCAGGAAACAGAATTTCCATTTTGCAAGAAATTCTAATATTTCACAATTTCCTTTCACCCTTGCTTGGAATGAAAAGCTGAATTTTCAAAATTTTCCATGAAACTAAAATGACAATATTTTATATCAGACACATCAAACCTATTTTATCAAAACATTTCATTTAAATGAGGTTGAAAAGTTTCAATTGAACTTTATCATTTATCAACTTTTCTGCCATTTTATAATTGATAACATAGGATATAAAGTGAAATTATAATGTCTAAACAGAGTTGTTACAATAGCATCTTATTGAAATGGATAGGATCCCATGAAACATTTCCATTTTTATCAGCTTTCCTAATAAATATCTTATATGGATCTGCCACTAGAGAGGGATGAATACCCACTCTCCATGTATGGGATGTGCAAATGGCAGCAGCACAAAAATGAATTCAGAGAGATTTAGAAAACAAACATACAGTTTTTAAAAAATATATCAGCATTCCTGTACTTAGCATTATAATGCCTAGCTAATTTAGGAGCCTAAATCTCATTTTGAAAAGTGATTTAGGCATATAGGAGCCTACATCCTATTGACCATCAATGCGATTTAGGTTCCTAAATGTCTTAAGTCCCTTGAGCTCCTAAATCAGCTAGGCATTGCAGTATTGAGTGCAGCAGGGCTTAAATACCTTAAAAAAATCTGGGCCAGAGTCAATGGCATAATAAGAAAAGGTGGGACATCTGGGTGTGAAATGTGCATGCTGTTCAAATGCTCTGAACTGAGGGGGCCTGTGTAGTGAGTCCAGTATGTATGTGATCTGGCCGGAGGACACAGCCAACCAAGAACCAAAGAATGCAGAACAAAAGCAGGTAGAAGTGTTGAATATGCAAATTGCACAGATATAAGAGGTGAAAGAATTAAGCCCTGTTGTCTCCAAGCTCAGTGGAGGCTTTTCTTTCCCTTGGGGTATTCCATGTGTGGCTGGAGGAATGGGTGCTGAAACAATTTTTATAGTAGGGGTGCTGAGTGCAGGACCACTTCAAGTCAGAGGGTGCTGCAGTACCCCCTGCACATCCAGTTCCAGCACCTAGCGATGCAACTGAAGAGGGCACTAGCAAGCAACCTGAAACAGATCCATGAGACAGCAGTGGGACTTGGGAGATCTGGTTCTGTTTCTGGCTCTTGTGCCAGGTCAAATCGTTTCCCTTCTCTGTCCCCCATCTGTCAAGTGAAAATAATGGCTGGGCAGAGATTTTCGAAGCTGCACAAGGGGTAGGGACATCCAGATCCCATGGGATGAATTGGGCATCAGAATCCTAGTGGCAGATTTGAAAAACTCACCCACTAGTTCTCAATGTTCAGAAGTAACCAATGGTTGAGGATGCCCAAATTGAGACCCCTGGAGGGAGCCCAGTTTCCACACAGTGCTGAGCAGCCACCCTCTGGATGTCTGGCCCCCTCCAGGTATCTGCTACTGGGTCCATTTGGAAAAATTAAGCCAATGACACCTTTCCTGTGTTGTCAAGTGCCTGGAGGGGCACAGCTGGGAAAGCACAAAGTATCCTGTCACAGCTGGGGAACCAGTCACCCTGGCTGACTGATTGACGTGCTTGAAGAGGGAGGCCTGCAGCCTGCAAGCCAGAGTACCATGGTTTGACTCTTGGATCTGATGTATGATCTTGAGCTAGCCACTTTCCTCCTCCAGTAACACAGGGATCTTCATCTTTATTGACCTGTTGCACAGGGGAGAGGGGCCTGAGAGGGTTAGAGAAAAACAGATCACATCTGTACCCTTCTGTCATTTTGTTACTGAAAAACATAATGATGTTGATAATGAAGTTTATTTCATATTACTGTCAGCACAGAGAGGAGGAGGAAACGAATTTTGGAGGCAAAGACCTGATACCCCAAGGTCCTGCTTCGAATCTTTTTATTTCCAGAGGGTTGCCTGCTCCTAGTGCTGATTCTCACCTTTTCTCACAGTCCTGTGCTGATCTCTTCACTTTGCAGCTTAGTTCTGCTGGCATCATCTGCAGGGGCGGTCCATGAGCCTAGGCGAACTAGGCAGTAGCCTAGAGCGCCGCTGGACCGGGCGCCCGATGATGACGTCACGGCCATTGATGGCCATGCAGATGGGGGGGGGGTTTCAGCTGCTGCAGCTGGCCTCAGGCTGCTCCTGCTGCATACTGGACCATTGTTGAATTTACACCTCCCTCTAGGACACGGGTCCTTGTGCTGTTTTCCACAGATCACTGCCAAGTGCTTTGTAAAGTTGCTTGTCATAATCATGAAGCATCTGAGAGGGCGTTGTCATGCCCTTTCATAGGGTTCAGTGTGCATTTCCTCTGGACCCCTTCTTGCCTGCTGGCAACCCATCCCTTTGGGCAGCTATAGACTCATGGGCTATGTCTACACTGGCATGATTTTCTGGAAATGCTTTTAACGGAAAAGGTTTTCCGTTAAAAGTATTTCCGGAAAAGCGCGTCTAGATTGGCAGGACGCTTTTCCAGAAAAGCACTTTTTCTGGAAAAGCGTCTATGGCCAATCTAGATGCGCTTTTCCGCAAAAAAGCCCCTATCGTCATTTTCGCGATCCAGGCTTTTTTGTGGAAAACACTACTGTGCTGTCTACACTGGCCCTTTTCCGGAACAGTTTTCCGGAAAAATACTTTTGCCCAAACGGGAGCAGCATAGTTTTTTCAGAAAAGCACTGATGATTTTACATTAGATCGTCAGTGCTTTTGCGGAAATTCAAGCGGCCAGTGTAGACAGCTGGCAAGTTTTTCCGGAAAAGCGGCTGATTTTCCAGAATAACTTGCCAGTGTAAACCTTTGTGTTACTGGGAGTAGCCACTGTCTGCCCCTACACTTGCCTCAAAGAAGGAGCTGGGTCGGGATTGGGAAGATGGATGGCTAATGTTCATGAGAGAAGCGTTAGTGTAAGAAAGTGGTCCAGAGTATCTTTCAAGAACCACTGATCCAGAGTGCTGATGAAAGAGTTCAATAGAGTGGTGTATTTTGTAGCACGGAGCCCACTGATACTGAGCCCTCTTAAATGTGCTTAATGACCATGCCAGTAGGAGCTGTACTTTATCAGTTTCCAGCCATTTCTGTATTGACTTTCTTCATCACTTGCCTGAGACGCCAACCCCTTGGCTGTGACCAAAACCACAGCATGCAAATGTACAGTTCATAAACCATAATGCCCTGCACTGGAGGGACGTCAGCGACTGTTCATCACCTCAGTAAACTAGCGTCTGTCAGACTCAAGGGTAAATAACAGTGCAAAACTAGGGAAGGGCAGGAAGTGAAAGGGCGAAGCAGATGTCAGACCAAAGTGATGTTTGCCAGCTCAGGCCAGGGGGTCATGATGAGATGAGCTAATCAAATCCAGAAAATTGGACTGTGCTTCCCGACTCCTCCAAGGAGCAGTGATGACAATACTTTCTTTGCAGAAGCTTCCTACACTATGTAAAAACCATGTACACACATTATGTAACCCACAAACCCACTGACTGTGTCTACATTGGCAAGATTGGCAAAATCTTGCCGCCTATCTGCACTTGCCACGAGTATTTGCGCAAATACTCTGACGCTCCCGCTCAGGGATAAGTCCTCTTGCGCAAGTGTTCTTGCACAAGAGGCCAGTGTAGACTGGTAACATCAATTTCTTGCGCAAGAAAGCCCGATGGCTAAAATGGCCATCAGAGCTTTCTTGCTCAAGAGAGCGTCTACACTGGCACGGATGCTTTTGCGCAAAGGCAAATCTTTTGCTTAAAGGCACATGCCAGTATAGACGCTCTCTTGTGCAAATACTTTTAACGGAAAAACTTTTCCGTTAAAAGCATTTGCGCAAAATCATGCCAGTGTAGATGCAGCCATAGGGTGTAGTTCACTATCCCATGTAGTAGTACTTAGACCACTTACAGTGAGAGATAAGAATGAGTGAGCTCTGCAGCCTTAGCTGAGAGCCAGCTAGCTTTAGGGTTAGGGTTCTAGAGGCTCCTACACTAAGCTCCAGAGGGTCCGGGTTTGGTTCTGCCTGTAGGTGGTTACACTTAGACCACCTATTGGTAGCTCAGACATTTAGATATTATTTCCAAAAGCTTTTTAAAAATATTCACAGGAGTTAAATCTTGCAGCTCTGCTTCCCACATAACTCAGCACGATCACAAAGATTGGACTTGAGGATTGTGTCTACATCTGACATAACCTGTCTTTGCCGCATCCAGTGAAATCAAGTGAGTAACATAAAATCAAAACAGTGCCTCTGAGTTAACAAAAAGAAACATGTCCAGGGCTCGCTAGCTGAGGGACCAGTCCCAGTGTCCAGATACTGAAAGTGAGGCATTTCAATATTGTGCACACTGTGCATAGAACTCAAGATGCCCAACAGGAATGCTGCATATGGACTTAGGCTTGAGACTGAAGTTAAATTATACTCTCAATCTTTTTCAGACAGACTCTTCTGCGTACCCACAAAGTTTGACTCTGTTCTTCTGAAAAGCCCAAATGGCGTGGAGGTGGTTCGAACTCTGGAAAACTGTGAGATGAAAGAAACATGCTATCGCGTTTCCTATGTGGAATACTATTATGAAATTGTACACAACTCTACCGGGGACAGAGAGGAGCGATTGAAGGTTAGTCGGTTGCATGCAGCTCTAAAAAGAGTCCTAAGCTTTGTCCAAACACAAAAGTTATTCCTCTTTAACTATACACTGTATAATCCCCACCCTTCTGTGGATGTAAGTTAAACTGGCCTACAGATGCTCTATGCCAGTGTGACTATTACAGTAAAGCCAGTACATTTTATTGGTATAAGCAACTTTATAGCAGCATAACAGTGCATACACTAGGGCTGTGTCTACATTGGCAAGATTTTGCGCAAAAGCTGTCTACCCTGGCGGGGAGTTCTTGCGCAAGAACACTGATGTTTTAATGTGTGAAATCAGTGCTTCTTGCGCAAGAAGTATGATGCTTCCACTCAGGAATAAGCCCTCTTGCGCAACTGTTCTTGCGCAAGAGGCCAGTGTAGACAGCCAACATGAATTTCTTGCGCAAGAAAGCCCGATAGCTAAAATGGCCATTGGAGCTTTCTTGCGCAAGACAGCGTCTACACTGGCACGGATGCTTTTGCGCAAAAGCACATCTCTCGCGCAAAAGCACATGCCAGTGTAGACGCTTTCTTGCACAAATACTTTAACGCAAAAACTCTTGCGTTAAAAGTATTTGCGCAAATCTCGCCAATGTAAATGTAACCTAGGGGTTGTGCTGGTATAACTATTTCATTAAAAAGTCACACATCTAACTGGAAAAGTTAACGCCAGTACATTCACGGCCATGGCTTAATCTACAATCCCAAACAAGGTTATAAATCAGTAAGTTTTATTTTAGAAGCAAAATTTAGTGAAATTTTATCTTTAAGTACCATCTACCTCTGGCACAATCTTTTAGCAGAGAGCCAATACACAGCACTACCCAAAAGCAGAACTTAACTGCCAAGAAGCCGGAATGCTGTATGGGTTTATCAGCAGGGCCTTGCAAGTGATTTTCATGTCTTTGTTTTGCAAATCTTTTCAGGAAATTGATGTGGGACATTGCTTGGGGAGCTGCACCTCAGGGAATCACTGCCTGCTTCGGTAAGCACAGCTGTTCACACACAGCCTCTCCCCTTGCAGTAGGGTTAGTTACAATCCTCTAAAAATGCAGATGCCCAATAGAATGAAAGGCAAATTTTGCCAAATGTATCACCATGTAGCTGTGCACAAGTGTGAAATCAGCGCTCTAAGGAGTCTTATCATTTTCATTCAGTTGCCAGCTCGCACAGTTTTATCTTTTATTGTGCTCCAGTGTCAGAGTATGGCTCCACCACTGTATTTTGCACTGAGTTTACTTGTCTTTCACAAATTCACACCCCATGTTGATAAGTCTAGTACTGTCATGGGATTCAAGCAAAAGGAATAAAGCATAGACTCTGAAGTGGTAATCCAAGTATGATCTTTATAACTTGGACACTGTTTCTACAGCAGTGCATGCCCTATAAAAACCTGGACGAAAAACTTGGAAACTTTCTTGTGTTTATAAGACACAAGTTCATAGATTCTAAAACCAGAATGCAGCACCGTGACCATCTAGTCTGACTCGTATAGCAAAAGCCTGGATCATGTCATTTAGAAAAATAGCCAATCTCAATTTAAAAATGGTCACTGATGGAGAATCCACCATGACTTTTAATAAATTCTTCCAATGGTTAATACTTTCTTTTCAGTGTGAATTTGCCTAACTTCAGTTTCCAGCCATTGAATCATGTAAACCTTTCTACTTGAGTCTAATAAGGCATGTTTTTTAATCCTTTAATCACTCTTGTGATTCTTCTCTGAACCCTTTCCAATCAACATCCTCCCACTCCCATTTGACACCAAAACTAGCCAGGATCTTATTGCAGACACAATGGCATTGATGGAAAGTCCCAACTACACATATAAAATGATGGGGACTAAATTAGCTGTTACCACTCAAGTGAGAAATCTTGGTGTCATTGTGGATAGTTCTCTGAAAACATTCACTTAATGTTCAGCAGCAGTCAAAATAGAAAACAGAATGTTGGGAATCATTTAAAATGGGATAGAGAATAATATTACTTCTATATAAATCCATGGTACATCCACATCTTGAAATCTGTGTCAGATGTAGTCACTTTATCTTTAAAAAAAAAACAAACAAAAAAAAAAACCATAAATCTTGGCATTGGAAAAGATTCAGAAAAGGACAACAAAATGATTAGTGGCTTGGATCATTTGCCATATGAGGAGAGATTAATAATACTGGAATGTCTCATCTTGGAAAAGAGACGACTGATCTTGATATGATTGAGGGATATAAAAGTGAATAAGGAAAAATTATTTACTTGTTCCCATAACACAAGAACTAGGGGTCACCAAATGAAATTAGGAAGTATTTCTTCACACAGTGCATGGTCAACCTTTGGAACTCCTTGCCAGAGGATGTTGTGAAGACCAGGACTCTAAAAAGAACTAGATAAATTCATGGAGGATAGGTCTGTGAGTAAGTAAGGGATATAAAAGTGAATAAGGAAAAATTATTTACTTGTTCCCATAACACAAGAACTAGGGGTCACCAAATGAAATTAGGAAGTATTTCTTCACACAGTGCATGGTCAACCTTTGGAACTCCTTGCCAGAGGATGTTGTGAAGACCAGGACTCTAAAAAGAACTAGATAAATTCATGGAGGATAGGTCTGTGAGTAAGTATTAG